TTGATGACACCACCAGTCATAAATGGAATTCAGGGTTTGACCAGAGCTGAAGTTTAGTGTTTGTAGGAGTCTTTCCTGTCAGCATCAAGCAGCACCACTACCTTATAAACGATCCCAACATGGTAACAGGATCAATCAAGCTCTAACAGCAGGTCACATGGTGCGTTTGTCTTCACCTCAGACAGGTGAGCTGTCACACAGAGTAACACTTTAAATCATTTGCTACGTAGCGGCCGTCCTCAGCTTGACTCCTGAGCTCCGTCACAGCTGTCAGGATCGCGTCGCTGTGTGATTTGCATCACTTATGTTTGCTCCAGATGTGAATGTGATAATGACCACCACGGGGACCCTGATCCTCACTTTGGTAACCATTGATCTCATGGACAGATTGCTATAAAAATGTGGTGCACACAGTACATTCATGTTTCCCGTTGGGTGACTTTTGGTGAATTCCAACACCATGTTTCTGCAGCGGCTCTACTTTGTGTTTAATTAGTGTAGGTGCACGATATATCGGCGACCACATCGGTATCGGCCGATATTAGTGTTTTTATCGGTATCGGTCCAATGAACAAATGGAGCCGATGTGAGAAACCGATGATTGTCTAACATCAATGGTTCACAGATGTTTTTACTTAAATTTTCCTGGACTTGAACGTTATACATGTTAAAATATGTTTAAATATGTTTTACTTTAGTTAATGAAGACGACTATGTGGTCTAATTTGGGCTTCTTTTTAATAGTTTTCTCACAGTGCTTACGTATACTCATTTTTTAGTGTGAACAAAAACTGAATATTGACATTGGTTATATCGGTTATCGGTAATATCGGTTATCGGTGATACCAGAAATCTTAATATCGGTATCGGCCATAAACGTCAATATCGTGCATCGCTACTAATTAGTAAATGTTACTGTGCTAAAAGGTGAAACAGAGCAGAATGCAGTAGACGTGTAGGATATCGACTCCAAATCAAACCGCTCACTGTTTCTCTTATTTTCTTTTGCAGCTTCAGAAAAAGAAGGATGATATTCTATCAATGCTGCAAGAGGTAAGTCAAGTCC